AATATCATAGGTTTGGCTTTCGTTAAACAGTTGTCGTGTCTTGAGAAGTTTATGTTTGAGAAAATGACGCGAACGTGTTTCCAGCTATATAATTACGCCACGTTCCCCTTTTTTTGCCACTTATCCTTTTGTGGTCTATTGTCTTACGTCATTGCATAAATTTGCGATTGCCGATAAGAAATTAGCAAATGTTTCTAATTTAGTAACTTGATCTTCAAACATTTGTAATTTTGCACTTAAAATTACCAGCTTGTTTATCCATCAAAAGCGCTTATCGTATACGGATTTACACTTATTGCGTTGCTTTTGAAAAAACAAGTCGTTTACTCATAACGATAAGATTTGTTGACTTAACCCAGGATTGACGTTGTTTATTATGTAATTCCTACGAAAGACACCTTGGTTTGATCAACTTACATTTACGATGTTTGTTATCCCTGGCCTTTGTTTGCCATTGTTTCTATCTATAGATATTGCAAAATTACAGCAGCATTGTCCTTTGCAACAACGTGATCGATGATTGGTCAATTATTTTATAATGTGACATTTCAAATAGTGTAATTCGTCAGAATACGATCAATACGAACATCATTATTATACTTAGGCGAGTACATTCTGGCAACTTGTGTTTTTTTTTATTATCACAAGAGTTGTACATTTCCAAGTAGAAATAACACCGTGTCATAAATAGTGTGCATAAAGAGTTGATAATATTAGTTATTCAGAACAAAGACTCTAAGGTCTATATTCGCTTTCTAAAGGGAATTGTCAATTACTATTATATTCCACTTGAGACAACAGACAAGACGCACGATTTGATATTATTATGCCGAGTTATAATTTACTGGGATAAGGTAAAAGAGTAGCATACTATAATTTGGCTGAATAAATTTTGTTGTCCGCATTTTAGTTAATCGACGTCGCAAGAATTAAAAATGTTCGTACACCAACGGAATTAGGAGAAATACGTCATTATCTGACTGTTCAAAAAATCGGCAAAACTTTATTCCAATTGTTTCGAAAAACAACAAACACAACATAAAGATGCAAGACCAATACGTCTTGTTGAATATCAATTGCGTCACCATATTATATATGTCTATATATTACTCTTACGCAATTTTAGATATATCATTTGCTAATTTATATACATGTATATCAATATTACCAAACGTTTACAAATACTGCTTGTTTGCCGTTAAAGAATAGACAACCGTTAATTTTTAATACTTGTGTTTGAACTAAACGAACAGTGAAGGTAGATTTACAATTTCATATATTATCATACAATTTCAATCATGATAGTGTATAATCATAAAATTATTCCTCGGTAGAAAAATTATCAAACAATGGGGGTAGCTTCCATCAATACAAAAATTTAACCGTATCATGATTTATTGTTATACGGTTTATTCTCAATACAGCAATTTGTCAAATATTGACGGCAGTGTAGAGTGTAGGGAGTTACCACATAATGTGTCTTTTATCATGACACGATCTTTCTTAAAGCATCAGACAATGGAGTACGAAGAAAATGAAGCAGATTTAGATTTATCATCAATGTATCATTATCGTCGTTGTATTTTCACTTTTAATAGTCCGCCGGCCGGCAATACATATTGTTATAATCTAGTAAGCTGGTATACTAGAGAGACAAAAATTAAAGAAATTAACAAGATAATTAAAATTGTCTGGCGTTCTGGTTATGACTTTATCATGTGCGTCAACAATTAGGATGATATGTACCACAAATGATATACATAATTCCCGGAATTATAGTTTCGCCAATGATATGTCAACAATTGGCTAATTGGTCGATTGATCGAATTGTTTCTTCCTGAAACCCCGAACGTATGTTAGGAAAATTTTATAGTCACCGGCCAACTTACCAATCGTAAATCGCAGCATACATATCACTTTGGTTACATGTTTCTCAAAAGATGGACGGTTTCCTACCCCACGAAATTCTGACCACGATTACAGATGAGTTTTCGGACAAGAGCGCTACTCTCTACTCATGCATTTTGATCAATAAAGACTGGTACAATGCTGCTATTCAGCACCTGTGGTCCAACCCATTTACCC